GCCAGGAGGGGACCCTCCTGCCTCAGGGAATGGCAGCTCTGGCTCAGCGAGGGCTTCCGCGGCAGGGCACGGAGAGGCAGGCCTCCGACAGAGATGGAGCGCGAGGGCCGGACCGCGGCTGCGTTGGCTCTGCCCTCCCCACCTCTGGGAGTGGGTGTTCCGGGCCTGGGGGTAAAAGGCTAGCAGAAATAGGTTCAGTTACAGAAGCAAGCGAATGCTAAGCTGTGCCGGGGGCTGGTGGAGGGCGAGGTGGGGGTGGGGGTGGTGAGGTTCACACCTGGCCCGACTCAAGCAGCAGAGCCGCCGCCTGCTCCGCCCCAGCCCCTCGCTTGCTCAGACGGAGGGGCGGTTCAGGGCACTTGCTCTAGATGCCCTAGGCTGGACGCCCAGGTCTAATATTTCCCGGATGATTTACTTCGCCTCGGTTTTCTCATCAATAACGTCGCCACTGCAGGGTTAACTGAGTTAATACGTGTCACGTGCGCAGCATGGACCCTGGCCCATGGTAAGTGCCTAATGTTAGATATTATTGTTATTACTATGATTAGGTTACGCCTGTCGGAGCCTGCCAGCACGGGTGGGAGAGCACGCAGGAGGGCCACTGAGGACAGCCACGCAGGTTGTGCACGGCACAGCTCAGTGCCATTCACACAGGAGTGCCTTCTGGAGTAACGCAGTACACAACGTGTGCAGCTGTCCACTGGCCCTGGAGGCCCCGGGCAGCCCTACTCCAATTTCCTGACTAATCAGTGCCACTCGCAATTGGACCACTGGGGGCAAGGGGTAGAGAAGATTAACAAAGGAGGTCGTGCGGCTTTTGAGTTGAGCTCTGTGGATCTGAATGTGTGGCCCGGCCCTTGAGAAGGCCACAGGATTGCAGGAGTGCTAGTGAGAATCTGGTCAGCTTCCCCATCCGTTCAGTGGAGTGGATGGCAAAGAAGCTTTCTCCTTGTATGCCATCTCTGACTGGCAGTGACTGGCTGAGGCTTTGTAAAGTGAAGAAACTAGAGGCCACTTTGGACTGGGTGGGAAGGACTCTTTGATTGATTAGTGATGTCTGCACGAGGCCAGGGAGAGGAGAGCTGCGGCATGTGTGTTTGGGCCATTTGCCCTCCTCCGATTAGCCCAGTGGTTCTCAGTCCTGGCTGCACCAGGGAGGGTTTAACAACAGTCTGATTCAGGGATGTAGTACCTGGCATCGGTAATTTTTTTTTTTTTTGAAAGCTCTGCAGGTGATTCTAATGTGTGCCCAGGTTGAGAGCAGCTGGGGTAGCCGTCCCTAAGTTCCTTGCAGTCCTGAGCTCTGTTAACTTCTCAGCATGCTCTACACGTCACGGTGCTTTAAGCTTTCTTCTAGCAGAAATGAAAGGGGAGTTAAAAGGCCAGTCTTCCATCAGTCTTACTGTTGGAGAGGATTTGTTGTTAAGCTGGGAGACAGAGGTTTAAGGCATTGGCTGCAGTCATGGACTGGGGTATCCAGGTGGCCTCTTCTCAGGCCATACTGCAGAGTCACTAGGGGAGGCCTGGGCTTTGCATCTGGGGGATCTCACAGGGCTTGGAAAAGCCTGGCCCATGCTGGCTTCATCAGGGAAGCCTTGTGGCTCCTTTAATCTGTCTCAAGCTCCTCTAAGTCCTCAGGGAAGGTGGGAAGTCAGGGCAATGCAGAGGCCCACTGAGGTCTGCAAGAAGTAACATGCCCCAAAACCCACAGGGCTCCCCCGGACCTCTGGAAGGAGTGCCTGGGGGAGAAGGAAGCAGATGAAAGCTGACTGGGGCCACTGGGCTGGAGAACACAGGGCTAGGGCACCAGGTTCGGAGGTGGTGCATTAGGACCACGGGCAGCCCTGGATGCTGACAGCTCCTCCAAATTACAGAGAGGGTGGCAAAGACGAGATGTTTCTGGGAAGCCACCCCGGCCTCAGCCCCTCCAGGGGCCCAGAGTCCAGCCAGCTTTCCTCGGCCCCTCCCATCACCCCCTCAGGACCCAGCCCTAGACCTCCAAGGAGCAGGACATGCCAGGCTTTGCCTCCCACCCGGAGTAACATAGAAACAGTCAAATAACATAAGAGTTCGAT